CCAAGATAACACATTGCTGTTTCACTCCCTACATTTGCTGAACATTTGTTGATTTGAAGCCTAAAAAGTTTTATCTAAACAACCCCACTTCGTTGAATTTCTTAGACTGATTTTAAAGGGAATTTCTTAGATGGCAAGGTCTCATGCTCATGGCAACATTCTCTAGAAAAGTGCTAATAATTTTTAATACGGTTTGCAAATCCACATTATCCTATAATATAAACAGGCTCCATTTCCCTTAATGGCAAGAATATTCCACTCTTAAGTACTCAAGCAAATGTGATTTTTATCATTGCTACTGTCAGCTTCAAGAAATTTGAACCCCATTACATAACAGCCCATGTTTTAAAACTTATTTCTTTCTACTCTTGAACATGTATAGCTAAACATTGGGGCATGTTATGATTTCCACTTTTCTGTTTTCTCTCAAGGTACTTGTTGGCACACCGATGAGTTAAGATTATTTTCATAACTTTCCTCCACGGTGCTCAGCTTTCTCTTTGAAAACTCCCATTAACATTTCTTCTTGTTAGTTGTGAAATGAGTAGGCAGAAGTGCCAGCTATCCGAGGAGGATGTGTTTGTCTGAACTGGAATTTTCCACAATTCCTAATCCAAGAGCTAGACTTTGATAAAATGTTATAATTCATAAAAGTCAGCTTTAATGAAACGTCCAGGTTGTTTAATCTGCATTTCAGCTGTTTGGGGACAATAATTCGGTAAATATATATAGGCATATATTTTTTGTTTTTACAGGAATAGTCTAATCACTTATGAAGTATGATTAGTTATAATATCTTATATTTAATGAGTATTTTGTGGAAAATGCAGTTGAAGTGCTTTATGCATGCCCATATCATTTTGATTCCTATTTCAGAGAAGAGAAAACAGGGACATGGAGAGACTTTAGACATTTTACCAAGATTCTGCAGCTATTAGGCCAAAGAAGCTGAGATTTGAACCCACACTCCCTGAATGTAGCTTCTAACCACTTAGCCAATCTTCTAAACCTCTATTAGAGCCTAATGTGCCATGTCAATATTTTTGTGGGTGATAAAACTTTGCATATGCACTCAATTACTGGTAGTTGAATTACTATGTAAAGAGGTACATACATAATTGAATGAATTTATTAACAAATCAAATTTTATAGCATATAATTAATATTTTCACATGTAAAAATGTGATATTTTTAAAAAGGTTCACTATGGTAGTATGACATTTTTGGAATATCTTGAAAAATACTGAGTTATATATTTAATTGTATAACTCACTTGTGACAGAGAAAAAATCAATTGAGTTGCATGGAACCAGACCATCTTTCTGATATCGGTAGTCACTTTATTTTGAATAACACCAAGTATAAGTACGACATTGATTTGTTCTTTCTAAAGTTAACAAGATAAAATGTAGTTTGATAAAAATATATATAGACAGGCTGACAACATGTACATTTTAAAAATAACATTTCATATCTAGATCCTTGGCTGATAATTATACATATAAGGCTTTAAACTCCAGTGTACTCCTGGATGTATTTGTTTAGTATGTGGGCTGCTTGGTTGATTTTCCTCAAAGTAACCGTTACTGGTTCATACCAATAAATATGTCTGCTGCTAGCAGGCACCATCTTTATTCTGTTTCCTAAAATAATTTTCCAGCAAAAATTTAGATTCTCTTCATTATTATTAATCAACAATGATGATGGCTAACATAGCTGAAATTACCAAAGATTCCATTTGTCTTATCCATGATAATGACTTACAGTGTTTTTCTGGACTCTTTTTCTGAGGCAGACCAGAATGAAAAGATAACCTCAGGCATCCTATGTGCACGTGTGTGCACACATATATGTGCGTGTGCATGCTTTTCAACATTCCTCATCACTAGGGAAAAACACCTTCACTCTTTAGAGGGCCTTGTGATATTATTCACACTTCCTTAGCTAGAAAAACTTTTCCCTGGCATCCATAATTCCCTTTCTTATTCCATGGATAAACTGAGTACAAAAAATGAACTAAGTAAAGGAGCCTTTTAAAAAAATTCTCCAATTACAGGAAAACGTTTTAATGCAATGTTCATCAATTTCAACTAAACCATGTTGTCAAGAAGCAGGGACCTTTACACATTCTCAAAGCGTTTAAAATTATTGTATAGCTGCAAGATTGCATAAAAGTAAATGTACTAAAAGATTGAATGACTTGAAAATCATTTGTTTTGGACTTCTGCTTCTGGCCAAGTTGGAGTAACAGAGAACAGATTAAACCTCTTGGCTAAAAAAAACTTTTAGAAATGGACAAAATATATAAAAGAATGGTTTTGAAGACATTGGCCATCAGGCAATGGAAGACAGTGATTTCTGAGAACTTACAATAGAAACAAATAAGATGAGCTCTACAACTGCCCCCAGCTGACTGTCTGGAGAGAGTTCCAGGCCATGACAAAGGATGAAGGAATCCTCACAGTCTCCTTCATTTGAGAGGATAGATTTGGGACTTCAAGGAGGCCAAGGTGGCTCAAGTTCACAGAGAAGAGTGGCAGAGAGGAGACAAACAGAGAGAGAACATTGGAGACCTTCAGAGAGCTCCCTTTCAGCTGTCAGTCTCCATCTGTGTCCTGTTCAGGTTATATATGTGAGGAAACTACACATAACTAGGGAAAGAACTACACAAAAGGATTAAGAGTAAGAATCACCAGAGCTCATATATGGATGGGAATAGTGTCTGTTTCTGCCAGCCACAGTGGAAAAAGTTCACCATTCACAGGGCATCAGAGAAAATACCCAGAAGAGTATTGCCTCAGTAATGAGGCAAAATTAGCCCTAGACTTAGGCTGTTCTGCTCAAAATTCACAAAGTATAAAAGGAAGACACTTAAAATATCAGATTGCTTTCAAGTAAATTAACTCTGTCCCAGGACAAAGGTCAAGAATATTTATCTGCACAAAAATATCAAGCACTCAACAAGTTGCGAATCACAATGTCTGACACCCAATCAAAAATTACCAGTCATTCAAAGAAGCTGGAAAATAACACACATAATGAAGAGAAAAAACAATTGAAATGGACCTAAAGTGGACACAAATGCTAAAAGTAATAGACAATAACATTATTACAGTTATTATAACTGTATCCCATATTTTCCAGAAGGTAAAGATTGACACATTGAATAGAGAATGGAAGGTGCAAAAACACCAAGATCACTCTCCAACTATGTGATGAATCACACAAACAATGTCTGAGGTTAAAAAGATACACTCGATGTGATTAACCAAAAATTAGATATTGCAAAACAAGTTAGATTAGTTAATTTTACAATAGAAATTTTATGAAATGAATTACAGAGAATAAAGACTAAAAATAAACAGAACAGAACATCAGTGAGTGGGACAGTTTTAAACAGCCTAATATATGTGTAATCAGAGTCCCTGAAAAGGGGGCAGAAAAATATATTTTTAAAAATAATGTCTTAAAATTTCTAAATTCGATAAAATTCTATAAACCCATAGATCCAAGATGCTTAACAGACCTCAAGAACAAGAAACATGCAGAAAACAATAGCAATGCACATCATAAACCAATTGCTCGATTCCCAAAAACACTCCCTAATAAACATTATGTATGTTAATCTCCATCTCTGTGGAGAATAGAGGTATATATATACGTCTACCATCCTCTATTTTTTTAAATGAATATATATTATTTTTATAATAAAACATGAAAATATTTAAAATCCTTAACTACCTTGTGTCAGATATCTTTGGAAATGGCAAAAGATTTATACATCTCCCCAAGAAAACCGTATATGACACATATTTCTGCCTTTAAGTGGAAGACCCAGTGATGCTGCTCAAAATTTACTGTAATGCTATTACAAAATGTATTTTCTGTACGATGGCAGATTGATAATCAATGAATTTCCTTTATCTCCAATGTTAATGCTGATATGTATACAAGTTTGATTGACATACACATAATTACACATTTTTAAATTATTCATTTCCTACATTTATATAGCTTACATATACATAGGTGTTTAAATGCTTACTTTATTAATATCAAAATGCATATTTTCTCTGCAAAAATATTTGAGAATGGAGAACTGTAAAGTTGAATATTATATTGCTTTTATGAATCCAGCATTTTGAAATGTCAGAACTATTTAACAAATTACCTGTTTCTTTGCTTTCATCTGTCTTAATCAGTATTTTCTGGCATTAAAAATTGGCCACAACTCAAATCTACTTGATTGAAAATTGCTATATGAACAATTCAAGCTAAAAGGGCTGCAGAAATACTTAAGATTTGGTGTAATAAACACAACATTTCTTATATCTAAACTGTATATTTTCCAAGCTAAATTACAACCTCCACAATCCAATTTATCTTTATCTGCATACTCAAAAGACACAGCAAGTTGCAATTAAACTATACACTGGTTATAATCCATATGTTGCATTTCCATTAACATAAACCATAAAAAAGTCAATAAGTACCACCAATTAACTCTGCATTGTTTTGGCCTCTGGACTATCTCAGAAGGCATTTTGTCAATAGAATATATAGAAATATTGCAACATCACCACAAATTGTCTTTAGGGAAACAGAATTATAATTTTATCATGATGGATATTTCTAGCAACTACATTATTGCTAAGTATACCACAAGTTCTCCTGGACAGAGTCCAATGTACAGCAAAAGCACACACTGCCCGAAAGCCACTGATGTAAGATGCTTCCCTATATCACAGATTCAATGACACTTTGCAGTTCATCAGATAAACCAGCTATATCTCGGCTAACTCGCCCTGTCACAAAAAATCCACAGCAGTCTCCCAACATGATCATTATGATGATGTTCTACTATGTGCTGTAATGACAACGAAAGTTAGGAATGATAAATTTCCATCATCATTCACAACCTGAACTTGCAGAAGATAAGCAGTTGCGATATTGTGGTGAAGATAAACGCAGTTTGAAAAAAAGAGATCGCAAGGCCTTACCTTAAGATACCATTTGTATTTGGCATGTTCCCAATTCTCAGGAATTTGCGTCTTTTTGAGGAACTGTTCAGCTTCTGTTAGCCATTGATTAAATATCTTCATATCGTAATGAAACCGCCGCCATTTTTCAACAGATCTGTCAAATCGTCTAGAGGTGAAAATATAGATTAAGAAAAATAAATGGATTACATAAAACAAATTATACAGACATAGCATATATGTTTGATTACATTAACAAAAATATTATTTTGATAGTTTTGCACCTTTGCAGATTTCTGGATTGACACAAACATAAAGACAACTATTACAGAGTATCAACATTTTCTCCTCTGTGAACGTATTTATTTTTTTTAATTCCTGGAATTTAAAAAAATATATTAACATCTAATAAATTCAGTATTCGGAAGCTACTCAATTTCAAAATACTTTTTGCATCAAAATTAAATTATCTCATAAAGTCAATCAATTTCAATATTACTCTTGATCCAAAAAAGTCTATTCATTAAGATACTCAAGCATCCAGGATGACAGATGTAACAGGCTTAGGTGTAAACAGTCAACCAATGAACTGATACATTAATCTAAATCAGGGGATGAATGCTGTCTTCCTTTATCCTTCTTGTTTTACTGTATCCACCAACATCTTATTTTATTTTTAATTAAACTTTATTGGGGGGGGCAATGGCTATTAAAGTTACATAGGTTTCAGGTGTACAATTCTGTAATACATCATCTATATATCACATTGTGTGTTCACCACCCAGAATCAATTCTCCTTCCATCACCATATATTTGACCCCCTTTACCCTCATCTAAATTGGAATGCTGAAGGAACTTATATGAGTCAGGGCTTCATATTTACCTTAGACAGTTGCACATAAAAATCACATGGGGCATTAACAGTAAAAAAACATAATAAAACACTGATTTCTGTCCCTACTGTAGACCAATTAAATCAGTATACTTGGAGGTAGGATACTGACTTAGTATTTTTAAAAGCACCCAGGTGATTCTAACGTGTAGTCAGGGAAAAAACACTCTATAAAGTAAGTTTTCAAGTCCTATAGGGCTTCAGATCTACTGGGCCTCCCGGAGCCTGTTCTAACAAATATTTGCTTGCACTAAACCAAAAGCCATCTTGAACAGCCCTGCCTCAGAGTACAGCAGTCCGTCAAAGTTCTCTGAGCTCGACTCTTGAGGAGCCATGGATTATAGTTTTGAATATCTTCTCAGATTTGTGAAGCTTTAAATAATCTTAGAACTTAACGCCGCAACTCCCTACCTTTTCACTGGGAAGTGAACGGAATTCACATATATTCAACAGTTACTATGAGCCAGGCACTGGGCTCTGTGCTTTTACATATTCAATTTCATTGACTCTTACAACACCCCGTGCAACATGACAATTATTATTCCTATTTTCCCCTGGAGAAAAATGAGAGGGCAAGTGACTTGCCAAAAGGTAAAAAGGTATTAAATGGCAGCGAGGGGATTCTAACTCGGGCCTCTCTGGTTTCAATGGTGCCTTTCACTGTATTACGTGGTCTTTTCTGGGATTCCTTTTTGCAAGATGAATTCTCACCTTACCAATTAAACAATTCAAAGTGATAGTCGTAGGGCTTTTTTTCTTATTTTCTTTATTATCTTCCAGATATTTAATTATGCATCTACATGTACATTACATTCTATCAGACATGGCATTTAATGATTAACTATATTTCTTTCCGTAAAAAATTTTCAAACAGACAGTATTTTGGTAGCTTAAAATAGGCAGCCAATGGTAACCAAAAGAGGTAGTCTCTAACTATATCTAGTGTAAAAGTTAGGATTCTGCCTTTTATACGTAATGACATTCTAGAGTTATCCACTAGTCACAAAATGATCATACAAATATTTTACATGTTTAACAATAATGCTGCCTTTATATATTTGCAGTGGTACCTAATACACAATGACTTACAAATGCAGCTTAAGAATTTCTTCCCTTTAAAACAGAATCGTACATTGTGTATGTCTTACAGGCAATTCTATCACTGGAGTCAGAGCTGTGAAATGAGGATATAAAAAACATAATTGAAATGGTTTCCTCTTGGTGAGATCACAGTCGATTTTAATTGTCATTATATACTTTTTCTATGTTGTCAAGTTTTTCTACAATGTGCATTTCATAGTTTGATGTTTAGAAACATCCTGTAATTTAAAAATACTTTTAAAAGGCAGTGTCATGCTAACAATGACTACCTCCAACTCTTTTCCTACTACCATAGTTTGAGAAGCAGGCAGAAGTTAACCAGAGCACTTACATTCCACCTTTTGCAGCAGTCCCCTTCTTACTTTGCTTTTTGTCCTACCCAATCACCAGAATTATTCTATTGCTAACTCTTTCAGCTACCAGGAGGTGATTGTTTCTCCATCGTTTGTGCTATCAATACCCACTCTTCATCCTAGGCCACTGTACAGACAGACATGTCCCTCCACCATTCACCACACTGGCATTTACCATCTTCCACCAAATTCCGCAAAGCCTTCTCCCACCCCAACCCCTCTTCCTCTTCCCAGATTATCTTCCCTTTCAATTCCCCAAGAGAAGCAATCCATAAGAACCAATACAACTGATGATGGGAACCCCCCCCCCCCCTCCCGGGTCTGCAAGACCTAGCTGGAGGGAGGAGGAGAAGAAAAACAAGCTTTCCCTTCAAACAGGGTTGGTTGGCTGTTGACATCCTTGTTTCAGGTGCACAAACATGAGACAGGATCAATTTGCCAGCCCCAGAGGACGCCCTGCTGTTCCCCCATGCCCTCCTACTGCCTCAGAACTTTGTGACTTTGCACATTAGCCCCATGTTCCTGAAATGCCCACCTTCCCTTTTGCTCCCTTTCCCGTGTCCCTACTCTTGCAATCCAGCCCTTTGCATAATGAAAGCCTTGATTAGACTCCTCATACTGGCACTTTGTCAATACCGACCGTATTTCCCCATGCATAAGACACACCCTTTTCCGAAAAATTTGGGGTCTAAAAACTGGGTGAGTCTTATACACTGGTTGTAGTTTTTTTAACTTGCATTTCCTGCTTTTTTCGCGCTTGTTTTTGCGATCATACAACCACTGTATAAGACGCACCCAGTTTTCAGACCCCAAATTTTTCGAAAAAGGGTGTGTCTTATACATGGGGAAATACGGTAAATACAGAGTATTCAACATAGCTTGCAACTGCTAAAAGTTTGAAAACTGTAAAGTTGATTCAATTTTATGATTAAAGTAATGTTCAAACAAGTATCTCTGTTCAAACAAAATATTAAACAATAAAAGCTCACACTTGCACTTTTACATGTGATGGTGTTTAATGTGAGTAATAATATTTTAAACTCCATTTCGAGCATCACATAAAATTTTAAAATACACTTCTCAGTGTTTTAATGTGTGTTAACAGCAAAGTCTAAATCTACTCTTGAATTTACTATGTAAAATTTCATTTTTTTTATCATGACTGTTTCTAAACTTAAACTCTTTCCCACCAATGAAAATTCTGAATTAACAGATATAAATTTTGCTAGTTGTACAATGTTACATTTATACATTTAATCTCTAATCAGCCACTAAGCTCCCTAAATTCCTCTTATGCCATTAATTGGACTGTCCATGATTGAGGAAACAGGCAGCAACAATTAGAAACACATAGCGGTATTAAAAATGGCATTCAAGGAAAGAAATGTAAGTTTTACCCTCTATATTATTATGGGGGGCGGGGGAGGGGAATTGTTGCTTTTTTTCCTGGCAATAAGAGGAAATATAGACCCAACTAAATAAAGGACAAAAAATGTCAGCATAAACATACGGATAATAAATCAAGTGATTTTAAAATTTTGCAAATATTAAAATTCTCATTCACTACGCAAGCAGTATTTAAAATTACACTGCTGCTTCATTTATGTGCCGCATAACTTATTTCCTGCTGTTCTAAATCAAGTTAGTCAGATTATTCTCGAGCATAAATTACATTTAGGGAGTAATTTAGGTACTTTGGGACATACTTTAACAATTTCAGGCCATTAAGGTGGTGCTCAATTCCATAAAATAGATTTAAATAAATAACACCCTAGTAGCCTTCTGACACAGCCACTGTGGTTTTATACTTAGGTCTGCAAACTCAGCATCAGGCTGCTGGTTATTTCCTCCTACATATTTCATCTGGGATGCAGGAGTGGGAGGGATGTTGGCTAAAGTCTCACAGTCCAAACTGTAGGCGCTGGTAAATGAAAATTAAATTAGTTATTTGCCCCAAACCAGAGTACCTGGCTCCCTTCTCCATCACCCCTCCTCTCCACTTCCCCAGTAATGAATTCATAAAACCTAAGGAGACTGGCTGTTAGGAAGTATTTTCTATGGAATCTAATTCACTCTGAGGAACCCTCCCGTGGCTCCGATTCTCCCTACTTGTCTCCTACTCCTTTTATTTCTTACTCCTAAGACACTGCTGCAGAGTTCTAGGCTGAAGTCTTTAATCTCACACCTAATATACACACTGAGCCCAGGTCCACACATGTTATACTCGGCTCCACTCCAGCTGGCTGCCTGTCTCACTGCAGACACTCCACGGACACAGGCTTGAATCCATGACCTTGACTCCTTAGGCAGGTCAAGCACAGTGGTCAGACTGCTCGCTTGGAATCCTGGCTCCTCCATATACTATGTGGCCTTGGGTAATAAGTGACATCTCTGAAAAGTGATTATAAAAGTAGTACCTACTCCCTTAGGTTATTTGTGAGAGTTACATGAAGGAATATATCTACATTTCCTGAAACAGTGTCTGGCAGTGTTCAACAAACATGAGTACTAGTTTTTGTTATTATTATTCTACCTCTATTTGGTTTAGGTTTCCAAATGCAAGTCAGATCACCAATATAGAATCCCAGCCATGTCAGTGTCTCTCTGGTGGAGATCAGACATATAAGAAATGATGGTATCTTTAACTTCAGGACTTAAAGTAATTCATAGATAATGTCATTAGCCTGCTTACGGAAGCTGAATCATTCATTACTCCAGCATAGAATCCATGGTTGCCCATAGCGTAGTCTGTCATAATCAGAAGTATCTGGACACTAATGGTAACCACTCTGAGCACCTCTTGTAACTGCAGAAACATTCATC